GCTTTTTATTTGATAAACACTGCGCAAAAAAGTAAATAAATGAAAGCAACTGAAAAAATCCTGATAAGAAATAGACTTTTATACATGGTAATTAAATATCAATCAAAATGTGGAAAAATATCAGTGAGACCAGCAAGACGTCACAAAGGTTGCAGGGAGAGACAAAGATGAACAAATGCAGGACACCAAGCGTGATGATTTTAAAGCCCCGAAGCACAAGAGTGCAAAGCTAGCTGTATATACAAACACAAACTGATATACACCAACAGGCAGTTCTGACACCAGCAGTGTGTGTACGCTCTGACAGGCGGGGCTCTGGGGCCCTGCTGTTGGCTGTCTGGTTCCATGCCTGCTCTACCTGTGTTTAAAAGGGGGCGGCCCCCATGAAGCTCAGACCCCAGAGTGTAGGCTGTGCTAGGCCCCCAGGGCTTTCAGGGTGTGGGTGCCGCACAGTGTACGCCTTTTGTTACAGGCTGGGTGGCAAGAGGAGGAGGAACTAATGTGTGTTGGGGGGGCAGGAAAAAAATGAGTAATGCTATGAGTCATTCTGCATTAGCAGCAGGGAGAGGGAGATGGGGAGGGGGAGTAGATGAGAGGGGGTGAAGAGAGAGAATACTTTTGCATGTTGTATGAAGCTAGACGCCATATGCCATCCGAGCTGGGCTGCCTCCTGAGTCAGGGCTCTCTGTTTGACAGGCCTGTGCTTGCCCCCTCCAAACCCCCAAAGCTACACCCCTTCTTCCCCAACCAACACCCTCCTCCTCTAGGCCTTCTCGGCTCCAGCAATGGGCTTGGCAATTGCTTTGGTCGTGCATGGACTGCGCTCTGTTCATGTGTGTGTGTTTATTAGGAGGGGGGTACTCAGTGATCTGAACACATCGGACATTGTCGTGAGTCCCGGCAGGAACAGCTGGTCAGCTGGAGAGAGGAGTGGGAGGGAGCAGGGATAAGAAGGGGGAAGAGATGGGAGGCAGTGCGCTACACTGATAATGGGATTAGGTTAAAACATTCAGTTGGGGAGAGCCCCCTCCTCTCTTTGCAGCCCCCTGAAATAATGTGTAAACTCTCAACCACCCTATCAAAGCCAATGCCAGCCTCCGCCCAAACTTAGCCCTGCCAACTCCAAGCAGGGACACTTTAAGTCCAAACTAGCCCCTCACCCAACTCCAGCTACCTACTCATCCAACAGCAGCCAACCGCCTCCGACTAAACGGTTCGCATCCAGTAATAACAATATGCTGACAATCACTTGTCATAAATCATGCAACAAGTCAAGCTGTCCAACTCCCGCTGCAAAAGTTACTGCAGATTACAAATTACTTTTAGTTGGTCAGCCCCGCTTCCAGTGAACAGGAAGTTGGCTATACTCACATCAGCTCAGACCATTACATGAATCCAGCTTATAATGACTAGCTTGGCGTCTCACTGTGCCCAGTCAAGCACTGTGCTCCATAGTGATATAGACTGCTGAGTATTATCCATGAGTCTGCCAACAGTTATGGCACAACAGCTGGCAAATTAGACCTATCAACGATGCTAAATAATTCATGGGAGACAACACTAACATGGCAGATCCTATTCATGACACCCTATCATGCATACAGGCGCACTTTCATCTCCGCTAGGTGAAGAATCTTACAGTATACAAAAGAACATGCTGTCGTGAGACAAAGACGCGATGAGACCGGGACAATAACTTGCTCAGAAGGGGTGTGAGAATGTGTCACGGTCAATGCGGCGACTGTACTAATTATGACGGCGTGTGGGGATGCAGAAACGGCACACAAAAGCAGTGCATGCAGAATATCATATCCATTGTGTTTTCAGCATACAGCCGTTGCAAAGATGTACATCTTGTTTCCAGCAGTGGAGCTGGGGGACTGCAGATATGCTCACATGAGCCTGTGAGGGAACATGACAGAGTTAAGCAGCTTTTTGGGTTCCACTGAAAGGATCAAGCCTTCCTCTCCTCTTCCTGCTGCTGCACACACACACACACACACACGCACACACACGCTACCTAAAAGCCTGGCTCGCATGACTGGCGATGGGCAGAAACAGATTATGGTTATTGATCGCTGCCTGGAGATGGATCTGTGTGTGTGTTTACTTGTGTGTCAGAGCAAAGGATGGGGACTAAGGGCAGTGTGCAAAAGCTATTGATTCTGTCCAATAGGAAGGCTATGCCTCTGAATCAAGGTCAGTTTTGCATTGTCTCACCTATTAGTAACTTGCCATCACCCCACACACAGACACACACACGCTTCACCTTTAACAATACCCCATCACAAAGAGTGATGGATGGCACATCAAACTCAAGTGCTTGTTGAAGAGTGAAATGAATCCCACCTTCTGGATGACGACATTATTCTATACTGACAGTATGAAGGATCTTTCTCATACAGTAAATGGCAGCAGGCAGTGCAGTGGCAGGTTTGGTCCACGTGTCACTAACAAACTAATAGCTGTTTTTGGTTTTAAGCTTCTTACATTTGCAAGGGAGGGCCCGATTAACATCCATGTTTCACAGAAGTCTGTAAAAACAAATGTGGTTACATTTAATTCAAAGTTGTTTTTGATTGAACATTTTGTGGTCTCAAGTATTCAAAATGCAGCCGCGAATGGCCAACAATACACTTAGAACACAAAGCCAGAGCAGCTGCATTTCCTATCAGCCATATAAATAATAAATGATACATTATGAGTTGTCTGTGAGAGTCTTGTGATATGTTGCCTATGAGGCCAAGGTTGTGTCCTGGCAGAGGAAAATGACACAAATCGCAAATGACACCGATGGCTGTACGTGACACGACAAGGCATATGCAACTGCACAGATTTGACAAAATCATGTGGGCAGAAAAAGGACGAGAGAGCAAAGCCATATGAGAAAGACAGAAAGCTGCCAAGAGGTAGTATCCTTTTGAAAAACACTCCTGCAGCCCATCTGTGTGTATTTTCAGAAAATGTTGCTGGTGGTCATTTTTCAATATCAAATCCTATTAGCTCGAGAGATTCTGTGAGCGTTGCAGCAGACTGCTGGAGTCCTCTAGATCCCTGTGACGGAGCGAGAGAGGGGGCTGCAGAGCCATACTGGCCTTTTATCTGGACACACAGGGGTTATATAGCTTCTCTTTGAAGAAATATTCAACTAATTACCTTGGAGAGTGGCCTCACAGGCAGAGAGCAGGCTGTGAATTGTAAAGGCATTGTGAAGGGGTAAACTAAGGATGAGGATTTTCATCAAAAAAAAAAAAAAAAAAAAAAAAAGAGTTTCAGGTCATTGTTCCAACCTGTGAAAGATAAAGGGCTGCAATATCCTGAGAAGATGGAAGAACTGAAACGACCGGAGAGGGAAAAATGCAAAAGGCTGGAGTGGCGTAACAGTAAAAGCAATGTTGAAATCAAAGCATCTGAAAGAGCAACTCCACCTGGCTACCAACGCACTGTTTCTTTTACGATCAGAACCACTGCGGGACGTTGCACCAGTGCGCTCTGACATTCTCTTAAAATATCAAATCTCAAGTTGTCACTTTTCATACAGCACCAAACATTCATTAGCTTAAAGTTTTGCCTCTGTGCTCACGAGCTCTCTGGCTAGGCAGACATGCAGATACTCATTTTGGCCATGCGCTCCGCCTGGCACTTTCATTCATCTCCTCTGGTGGAGTGTGCGAGGCCTGGCAGCCGATCGGTGCCAGAACTCCAGAGGCAGCGCTTATCTCCTCTCATAGATCATGCCTTTGTGCTGAACTGATTCTGTGCTAAGGAATGCCAGGTGAGGCTTTAGTGTCCCAGTACGGCCCTCTTACTGCAGCAGCACCACCCCCCTTTAAAAAACCCCCCACAAAAAACAAAAATCCCTTCGGCTTCCCCAGTCCCTCAGGCTTCCAGAGCCAGGCAGGCCTGTGGACGGCCCCCCTCTGGCACTGAGAATCACACTGGGCTAATTCACTTGGCGTCGGGTAACAGACATCTGTCACTCAGGATACCCCCGGGGACTTTCAGACAAGGCCCGATATTGGGGTGGGGGGGCCAAGCTATGTGATGCACTGTGAAATGCATACAGACACACACATACTTGCACACACCCTACACTGTGAGCGGTGCAGCACGATGACAGACCAAAAGCCCTTTGTGAGTAATAGTCATCCACACAGAGTCTGAAAACAAGTTTAGAAATTATGCATACATCCTCAATCCAAATAAAACCTCCTTGGGAGAGGTTTCTATAGCAACTGCCAGAGGGGCAGTGTGGTTCTGGTGAGGCGGTGGCGCACACGCTGTCCGAGTAGGAGCGGGACGTTAAGGGAGATCAGGTTTCCCCCTCCAGGGGCCATCCCAACTCTGCCCCCCCAATCTCACCCTCCCACCCCTCCCTCGACTCTGTGCTGCTGGTATTCACATGCTAATTCATCTCCACTGGTAATTACACTCTCTTTAAACCAACTGACAACTACAGCTGGAGTCAGGCTCTTAACGGCACACAGTTGGATGGATGGGTGTAGGGATGAGAGCAGTGTGTGAGTGTATGCACTTGTATACATTTGTTGATGGGGCTTTTATTTTGGTTCTTCTCGTCCGCCATAAAACGGTAGTGATAGATGATGACACATTATCTGTTCTCTTACCCAAAACAGCCCCGCAACCTCCCGTGTTGCTCCAGGCTGTGAAACAGCCTAGGCCTAATAGTTGTATGTAAATCAGGTAGCTCATAAAGATCAGTGTCTGCACTCAGCTGTGTACTTTGGCTAACATGGAAAGCACACCACATGTTCCAGTGAATCCACTCCAATGTGGTGGCTTGTCATGTTGGAAATTTAATCTCAGTGATGTTTTATTTACATCTAATTGAAATATTTCAAAATCGTTGCTAATAAACTTAGCAGTCTGAGCTCTCTGAGTAACCACTGCCTCATCTTTTAAAAGTGTCACACTCATCTGAGGAGCTGTACCTGTGTGAGAGAGGAAATAAAGCAGAAGCCTTGAGGAAAAAAGGATACAAGCTCTGGTAGAGAGTCAGCCGGGACTTGACAGCTCTGCTGGCATTGATACAGGTAGCCCGTACTAAACTTGGCAGCAGCATTCCAGTGACGATAGCGCCATTAAACAGAGGGCCAAAGAAGGGAACCTGAGGAAGTCAAGAAAGAAACAAAGAAATTAGACGAGTCGATAATAAAACTCAAATTTTAGTGCGGATCCTGTTTTTGCATGTGCAAGTACTTAAGAGACACATTTTTTGTTTAAAAACAAAAAACCCTCCATCTGTTTAGGGGAAGGGTTCAAGTTGAAATTGGATTTTGCCTAACTCTGCATGACAACCACACATATCTTATGCGAATCAATGTTAGGTAAATGAAATTAAAATGACAATCAATACTATACAATGCCCTCATATTGAGCTATTTAATACAAAGGGGCAGAATGAATTTCAAGAATAGCGTGTGTGTACGCGTCTGTTCATGCATATTGGAAGGGGGCCCTTAATCACTGAAGCTCAATAGTCACTGACCTGGAAGTTGACGTGAACGTCAAAGTCTTTCCAAAGGCCCTGCTGTCCTCAACTTGGCACTCGACCAGCCAAATTAAACAACAAAATAATGTATAACACCAGTGATACAGAATAATTAGCTAAATCGTGTGATGGAAACCTGATGTTATACTATAAATACTCCAGTATCAGACATCTGAGTAGATGGTTTTACATGTTTTTTAATTTAGAGGAACTCTCCGATAAAAATGTTTATTTTTTCACGATTGGGCTCGGCACTGCAGCGGCAGCTCTTCTTCTGACCTTCACCCAATGAAAAAGGCTTCCTGTGGCAGAAACTCTTTTTTTAAATTATGATCTTTAACAACTGTAGTTTTTCAGCTTCATTCCAATTCCTCTTTGTGCAGCTCCCCGACAGAAAAACTGAAATAAAAGCTTCCTGCACAAAGGGTTAGTGTTTTCAGAGGTTATCTGGAATAGGCCCTCCATGAACATGAGTGGGCCTGGAGTAGCACTGAGGAAAACATATGGATGGAAGTTGACTAGTGTATGACTCATGAATGATAAAAGCAGTTTTGTGGGTTTTCTTAACAGCAATTGAGAGTTCCAGGAAAACGATTTAAATTTATTTTTGATAACTAATGTGCTCTCAGCAGTGAATAAAGTTTTGCATCTAGTGAACTGCTGTGTTGAATTTTGACATTTAACAAAGTCAAAACGTGGAGCTTTCAGTGACGAGGATGGCCTCGCTAGTTTTCTGTTTACACAGACAAAACCAGAACTCCATTAGAGCAATGACTATGATGCAAACAGAGACGGCAATAAATTGGCACTATGATCATTCACACTAAAAAACAATGAAAGAAACAAATACAGTCTGAATGAATTTCCCCTCCTCCTATGACTGTTATAAAAAACAATGGAAGAATAAGAACATAACGTGTTTCTTCAAGTTAGGCTTAAACTACAACATCATTTTACATGATCCATTTCCCGATTATCTCTCTCAAGATAACTTACTGGAAAGAAAAGAAAAATACTGCTTTACAAATTTTGCACTATGCACTTTTATAATGTGTGGATATATCTGAACATCTGAATCCAGTCATCCTGGACAAAGTAATTTCACGGTCCTCCAGGAGGCCACACATCGAGTGCAGCACTATGGAGTAACCAAGATGAAAGCAAGCCAACAAAGGCCAGTAACCATCTCTGAAAGCACATACCCACAGTGTGGGTAATAATGCATCGCTGGAGGAAAGACCTGAGAGCCTTCAGACAGAAACCACAACAAGGGAAAGAAGGTATGAAATTCAGAGCAAAGTCTGAACACAACAGAAGGACGAGGGTCTGCATTATCTAATGAACACAGACAGGAAATTAATGCAGTGCCATGCTGTATGCTGACTTGTTACAGCAGGTAACAGGTAGAATTAACCTGCTACCACTTTGTTTAGGTGCCCTTAAGACATGACCGCATGCTTAAAAAGTAAAACCTCCCGTAAATGATCATTACACCTAAAGAGCTAAAACATCTGAAGTGGTCTATAACCTAAATATTCCACTCGGCACTGCCATTTACCTGTGGTTTCTTCATGATCTGGATGAAATACATGTGTTTCTTCATTGGGTAGATGACTATCAGCACATCTCCAAAGTCAGTTGGGATGATGCCGCGCCGGTAGTCCCTGGTGTGCTCGGACCACACTATGTGCACCTCATCGTTTCCCAGGTGACGCAGCTGCCAAACAAACAAAATTAGTCTAATCAACAGCTTAGTGAGCGAATATAATTTTCACTGCTTTGGGGAACTAGACAGGAACACAAATTTGGATGGATTAGGGCTTCTAACTGGGTTTTATCCGCTCTGCACTTAAAACCCACACTGCCTCCAGGAGACCGAGGAGCGGACTGAGGTTAAAAATCTTTTTAGAAGAGGATGACTGACAATATTATTTTCTAGTGCATCTTGGGAGCAACTGTTTCTGGAGCAGGTGATCGCAAACTTTGTTTGAAAACAATGGTCTAAATCGTAGCCTGGCTCTGGTTTAGTCTCCTATTATAGCTTTTTCATTACAAATTCAAATAGCAAACATAAAATGGACAAAATTGAGCATTTTAAAACCAAATAATTCAAATACAATTAACCTACCCCATCAGAGGTTAAATTGCTTCCCATTTCCACTCTGTTCACAACCACAAATGAAACTGGGCAGGACAAGAAGATTTGCTTAAATGACAGGAAATTGACTGATGCTAGTTTAAAAAAAAAAAAAAAAAAAGAAGAAGAAGAAAAAAGGTAAACAGCTTTCCCCCTTTCAAAGTAAAATAGATGGGAGTAGCAACATTACATTCTCTGATGACAAGTGTAGATCATTTATTAGCTGGTGGTCCAGTGATGTCGAATCAAGCAGTCCTTCCATTTTCCAGAGTATCATAGACACTGAAAAGTGAGTCTCTACTCAGAAGAAAACATCTGCCAATGTACTGTTGGCCTAATGAGCCATTAAGAAACATGCCCTCGCCACCAAAAATGCAATTAGCACATTCTATTATAAGCCCTTAATTATGGTAATACGCTAATCTTAAACAAATCCACGGCATGCTGATTACTGGAGCTCGCCAGTTCAGTCTGTCTGTCCAAGGATCAGCAGGTACCAGCCAGGTCAGTCACTGGGACAATTTCAGAGAAAATGTTGAATATGCATTTGCTGCAGACAATCAGCAGTGGGATGTTAATTTGGGTTAAGATAGTAGCATTTGGATTAGCTGAATGACAAGTTTAATGAGGATGCTTATGCTCTAGTCAATCATCTTCTGCACCAACCCATTTATCCCCTTGTTAATCACATCCAAATGTTTGAGACTTCTTTAATAAAATGTGATTCAAGTCAAAGGCTCTTGTCCAATTAGCCCACCTTGACCTTCCACCCAACCAGTGGGGTTCACATACATGAAAACTGCCACCCAAAGGATCCAGAAGACAAGAGCATCCTAATGAAAACAACCTGCATCAACCTAGTTAAGACGTAGTGCCCGAGGGTAACTGGGACGGCTAAGGCACCCGTCCATCTCCCTCGCTTTCACACACATCCACATCGTCTACATGGCCTGACCCCAACCCTGCAGGTCATTTCTATAAATGCATTACTGAAGCCAGCTGCTGCTGCTGCTACAGCCTGCAGTGCCTTAAAACCCACAATTGGATTGAGGAATTCATGGTTTTCCCTCTTTTCTTTTAGGTTTAGCTTTTCCCCCCCTTCCATCAGCTTCAAACAGGCAATCTACTCAGCGAGAGCTACCCCATCCGTCTCTCCCCTACAGTATGCCTCTATGGTTACAGCAAGTAAAGTGGGTGACTGCTGGACTAAAAGTGTTATTTTTAAATTGACAGAGTAACATCGTACTTAGACACAGACAAAGCCTGTTTCTCATTCCAATTTTTTCATACCACTTTCTCTTCTCTTTACCTTCCCATCGTTTTCTGAAACATCGGCGCAAGCGGCCCAGCCTGCAAATTTCTCTTGGACCTGTAGCTGGTGTGGAGATCTGTGCGAGGTGAGCACGAGCAATTACAGAAGTTCCCGGCGAAACTGAATGAGAGCGGAGTGGCAGCACACTCTGCTTTGGGCACGGGCACCCCTCCAGCGCCACACTCTGGACAAACCGAGACAAAATCTTTCCTCAGACTAATTTCCGTGGCCACTAAACACAGTTCCAGGATGGGTTTGGAATGAGTAGGCGATTATTTGTGAAATGGAGAGGGGGATGTCTGTTGAGGGCTGGAGTGTGGCTGGATATGAGGAGAGCCTGATGAATTTCCCTCCTCAGCAGGGTACTGTATGAGAAGATTGGCAGCACGGGCAGGGGCCTTGCGGCTCATTTCTTTCTGCTAACTGCTACTGCTGCACTACAGCTCAGAATCCCACTGCAGAACCAAATCGATCGCTCCTGTGGCGGCAGCAGGAATTGGATAAAAGGATCCTGCCGGCATCCGGCCGGCGCCTGCCCTAGCAGAGAGAGCTAATGGCTGAATCCAGGCCCTGGTCACAGCACACAGGGAGGGGGGCAGGGGCTAGCAGAATCATAGTCATTACCACAGCAGCACATGCCCTCTCTTCACTCACGCGCCTGCGATTCTCTACTCCTCAGGCCTTCCTGGCCAGGGTCACTAATCAATGCCCACACTCTGGAGTCACACCTCCTGATCACAGCTTAACACAGAGCTGAAGGCTGCAACAACATACTGCTCTGGGCAGGCATGGCTGTGTAGCCATTTCACTGCAGTACATTCTTCTTTTTCTAATGCACTTAGAACTTAAGGTGTGCAAGTAATTCAATACAGACAATCCAGATGTGCGAATAGTCAATACGAGCTTTTTTTTACCTTTTTGGTGAGGCAGTCATCAGAATCAGATGGCATACGCGTTGAGACGTGGAAAATTACTTCCACAGTGGAGGTAGCATAATAAGGAGCCGTTAGACCTGTGCTGCCATTCCTCTGGAGCCCGCCCATAAAGCCACAGTGCGTGGCTAGGTCCACCTGAAATGTACAAGCAAAAGTTACTCTTTTCTGAGTGAGGCTGTACAACTTTGTGCAAATATGAATGCAAAGATTTGATTTAAAGTCGTGGTTTGCACCTCCCATCCCAGTCCAGATACAAAGTCTTCATAGTCCTGGCTTCCTGTGCTGTTAGACAAAATGGAGCACTTGTCTTCTTGGCCTTCTCCAATGTAGAACACAGCAATCTTGTGCGTCTCTCGGCTACAGAACAACAAAAAAAAATAAAAAGCAGCCAGCATTAAAAGAACAACAGCTACACTAACCAGTTTAACAGTTGTAACACAACTTGAAAAGCCTTTAACTACTTGAGCTACTCTGGATGAAATGCTTGGATTACACCTCGCTTATCAAGGTCAATTGTGTAATTGAATTGCTGAATAAAAATCTCAAGCACAGAGGGGGAAAAAATGTTTATCTCCAAAAACCCGTCTGCTATCTATCCATCAGCTTTAACATCATGTTAAAAAAAAAAAAGAAGAAGAAGAATGGCAGCAAAGCCCCCCCATCCTACTTTCCCTGTTGCCATGGCAGTACATTGTGCTGGAGTGCATTTAGGAGACTTTGCATGATTGCGCACAGGTTGTTATTGTCCAACCAGGTCTACCGTCTGGGAGAAAACGGTCCACTTCTGAGGGCATTATTTTATAACCTCCTGTCATTATCAATGTGTAGAGCACTAATTGATCGGACTACGAGAGTCCAGTAAGAACGATAAGAACAGGACGGAGAGAGTGATGGAGGGAGACTTCCAGGGTTGTGCTCAGCAGGAGTTGGCACAGATTAGCAAATTCATGGAGTAGTAACGGAGCACTGCAGTCTTGAAAAACTGGAGGGCTCGCAGGACATGCAAAGAGTTAATTCCACTCATTCAGAAACATGTTTATGGGCGATCAGGAAAACACAATACATTACAGACAACACTGCTTATCATGACGTGCTAAATCATCACAAGATGATACAAAACTCCCAAGTGAACTTTACCACTGCCTGGAGTCCAAGTTCTTCAGTTCCCGTAAGAGTTTAGAGTTTTTCTTCAGCAAATGGAAGCTTTTCCTGTTGAACAACAACAAGTCTTGATTAGATTAGACATGAGGATTTTAATCTGAAACTAAAACTGCCATCAGCGGCTTAAATCATCACAAAGAAAATAAGTGTTAAACCAAAGTTGTGTTTTGCAGATCTGATGACCAAGGACCAAAAAAAAACAGGCACAGGTGCAAGCCACAATCTCCTCTTGTAGTGTGCATGTTACACCATCACCATTAAGAGGTGTAAGCTTTTAATTTACGGGGCAGAACAGCAAAGATGAGGCTCTGCAAGCTAGACCTTAGTGAAAACAGCTGGGCACTCTTATCCTGTGGAGAGGAGATTAAGACACTGCGGACTCCAATGTGCCTTTAAATTCATCCTCTCTCTCTTTGAGTAACAAGCCAACAGCTGAGTTACTTTGAAGATGAAGAAAGTGACTTTGTGTCAGACTTAACAAGAGGATGTGTGTCTTGTTCTTTCTCTCTGATTGCCTGCATTTAATGTGTGTTTGTTTTTAGACTAGTGACCAATAAGTAACAGACCCCTGTCTGACTTCTCTTAAAACCCCACTTTCCTCTATTTGTTTCTTTCAGTAAAGAGCAGGCTATTTGCAGTCTGTCTGTAATACCTGCGATCCCAAGAGTTCATCCCAAGATCATTAAGCAGCAGCCGGCAGAAGTAAAAAGGAGCTTTTGGTTCCTGGTGGGACGGTTCGCTCTGGCAGTCAGCCCGAAAGCTTACATCAGCCTCCCACCTCCTCACTTGCTCCTCCTCCTGCTGAGTCTGACGATGAATGGCTTCCAGGATGGCGTTCTCTTGCTCTAGGTTCATTCCGTGTGGTGACGCGGCCGGCTGGTTAAGCTTAAGTCGTGGCTGGGGAAGACATTCTGGGCTGCTGTGTCCGAGGTCCTCCAAAAGCTTATCGAGAACATCAAACTCATCCTCCTCGCAAGAGTTTGAGAGGCAATCGGAGCCTGAGCAATGACGCTTGTGCGGTCCTGCTACTGGGGAGGGGGGCGGGTTGCTGCTGTGGTTGACTGCAGTGGCTGCAGAAAGGGAAGGGTCAACTGGTTTAAAGGCTCCCACATCAAAGTCTTCATGTGCGGTGCAGTAGAGGATGGCACCATCCCACGAGTACTTGCCCGAGATGTCCCGGACAATGACGCGTACTTGGGAGGAAGTGTGCAGGGACTCTCCAACGGTGGGAGTCTCGGCAGGGATTTGCAGGTAGGACACCAGCGTGCTGTCGTTGAAGACAAAAAGCTGCAGGTTGGGGCTTTTGAAGACCTCGGAAGACAGCTCGGACGACTCCACGTATGGGTTGTCATGATTTTCGCTCACGAGGCTGTGGAGGAGAGCGGGGCCGCCGCTCAGGGGATGATGGCCCAAATGGTTCACAAGGTGTGTCATGACCATCCGTGCCGTCAGCGGGATCAGCTCCATGTTTCGGCGACGCTTTTCTGGTGGGAGAAAAAGGATGGGAGGATGGAAAAAAAAATACAAGCAAGCAAGTGTAACACATGATCAATAGTAAAAATGACCAATGGGTTTAGAATACAGCTGCACTCAGGGCTGTCTTTTATAATATGTTCAATGTAGACTTTAACAATATTTAAAAAGCTCCACATTTGTGTGTCGACATGTTACACTCTTTATTAGCTCCTTTTACACAAACCCAAATCTGATTCATGATTACTAATAGGGCTACTTTATTCATTTCTCACAATAGCTTAGCTAGCACACCTCTAAGTAGGTAGCATCTAATCATAAGAGACAACTTTGAAAAGCCCATTGAGTCTTCTTACAATGGACAACCATTGAGACTGGCCAAGTGCTAATGAGAACCACCATCTTTGCAGACTTCTGAATAGAATTGTACTTTGCAGATTGCATTTATGTAAATGTACAGGTTTTTACTCCCAAGTGAAAGGCATGCCGTGCTTTATTCTGCAGGGATGTGGGAAAAACAAGAAGATGCACTCTTGCATTGTGACAGTGCTATCAATACCATCATCCCCCATCAAAGTGGAGAAAGCTCTTTAGAAAGCAGGCCAAGCTGCATTAGAGATGCACTGGCCCTTTGATGTGACTTGATCAATATGAGGTGAGGGCATGAATATAACTAGGCCGGCACTCTTTGGTTTGCCCTTTTGATAGTGTTTTGTTATTTCAACCAAGACTCTGTGCAGCTGTGCACCAGAAAAAAAAAAGAATTGGAAAAAAAGCAGAGGTGTGATGAAATTTTCAAGACAAAAGCTTCTGTTTGAATTTCTTACATTGTTTCAGGAGACATTCACATTGTGTATTTGGACTTTGAGGACTTTTTAAAAGTTGAGGACGCGAGAGAGAAAGAGAAATATGTTGCCTAATGGAATCACAAGGTCACAAAAAAGATTTTTTTTTAATCTAAACCCCATAATGGGTCTTCTCTTAGGGCTGAGTACTAATGTGAACATTCCATTCCCTGTGATGGTTGATTTCCTTTTTATACTTTTAATAAGATATTGACATTTAATGGAGAGGCTCTAAATGGATGGCCTACTTAGAGTTTGCTTTTACCTGTAACCTGTTTTGGATGATTTTTTTGTGGGGGTGGGAGGGTGGGGGCAGACAGGGTAGAGAGTTTGGCTCCATATTCTGGGAGCTATAATGTAGGAACTATAAAATATAGAGCTGGCAGCAGTATCCAAAACATTACGATGCAGCAGCTGGCATCAAGTACTAACTGGCTTTTAACCCTCCTATGTAAACCTATGTACATACTAACACATACTATACAACAATTAACACTTAACCTTTTTATGCAGTGCGATCTTTCTCAAAACAGATTCAGATTTAGGAAATGACATTTTCCTGCCCTTACCCTCAGCCACAGTGAGTAGGTTGCCTAAGTCCATGGTGGGTGTCTGTGACGGGGGTGGCTCGCAACGCTTAACCTGACCCAGCATGAGGTCATAGTCACTGGACAAGTCAGACAGGGTGAGCAGATAGTGGCTCTGCTGGGTGTGCAGGTTGGACCCAGCCACACAGCAGTGCAGCACCTGAGGAACGAGAGCGGAAGAGCAAAAATGTAGTGATTATTTGGCATGCATGGGTTGTTTTGCTACAGTACTTAGTAGAGACACCCCAAACACCCCGCAATACCATAATATTACTACATTTAACTCACAACATTACTGGAATCACCTTTATCAAACTGCTAATTATGTCCTCAAAGTCAAACTTCAGTCATACCTCTTTAATCAGATAAGATAAGAGACTGCAGTCGGCAACTACATGCCAACAGTTTTATATTTCTTAGAATTCAGCAATTAACTGCAACAGATTGCTGAAAATCACATTTAATGCCATCTACGTAGACAGAAGTTCTCATTTAACATAAATTGATATTTAACTATTACATTTGTGCTCAGCAACCTTCCTGCTCCAGTGTGATGGCTGCACTTACAGCCACACAGTGGTAATACCCACCATGTTAGTGCAGAGGCTTATAAGTAACATTGCATTCACATTTCTTTCTTTAAATATAGGAATTTATTTACAGGACAATAAATAACTGGTTTTGGTTTAGAATTCATTCACATATCCACATAACACTGCATTCTAAAATAAGTGTGCACATTTTAGTTTACACTGTTATGTATGATTAATTTTTTGTTTTCTGAGTTACCTTAGTTGCAGCTGCTCCAGTCCCTTGATTAAGGAGCCAAGAGGTGGAAAAGGGGCGGAGCGAGCTTTAAAGGAAGACTACAAATTGGTTCATGCCATAACTCAGGACCATGGGGGGGAATTGGAGTTCATTATGTTTGGTTTAGTTAGGTTTTGTGTGTTTTACCCCTTCTCCTGTTTTTGTGGGCTGATCAGCCACTATTTAAGTTTCCCCTTTGTCTCATTAAGTGAAGTCAGTTTGTTTGAGTTATCAGTTGTATTGTCAACTTTGAGTAGAGTTTTGTTATTTTGACCTCTTTTATGGGCCCAAGATTTTGATTATTTTTGCACGAGTTAACCAATTATGTTTTTTGGGTTAAATAAAAAATCTTTTTTTTGGACTTTAACCTGTGCCTAAGTTTCCTTCACTGCTCGGTCCATCACATCCAGTATAACCAGATTACAGGCAGCTGGCAGTTAGTTGAGTCAAGACTCCTTAAGTTTTGCTCATTGACTCATTCATACTGATGGCAACATGTCAGCAATCTGTCTACATAAACAGTGTAGTGATTTATGGTAGTGATTGGGGTCAGTCTAAATCAGACTGCAACTGTTTGCAGCAAGGTTGCCTCCTATCAGGTGACTTGCGAGTGACTGAGCAACACCAACCTCACTCCAGGCAACCATTTAGTCACCAAAACTTGCAATTGGTTGCTGAAAAAGGAGGTCGCTGTCCTACTTTCACTCATGTGACTGAGCCATTAGCGTGCTTTGAATTTGGAGACAACTTGGTCAAGATAAAGCATAATTTACGGTCCTGCTAATGTGTCCATCTACACATTTGAGTTTGAAGAGGGAAATGCAACATGTGCTCCTGTGCAGTCCTCAAAGATCCTGACTGAGCACAGCTGACGAAAGTGTCTTTTTAATGTTGACAAGTGGGCTGGAATAGAGGAGAATGACAGCAGAGTTCCCGGGAATGGGAGCACAGACAGTGGCTGCAGTAGAGACTCTTGTTTTTAACACTTGGATTTACTTCAGCGCTTTGCATGTTTTAACTTTGCTCTCCTCTGCAGCTGCCTAGTGGACCATCAGCAGTACAAGTAAGAGTGGCCCACAGACCGGCTGTACCCTAAACTTTGTAAACCGCCTCCATTTGACATCAGAGCTCTCTGCAGGCAGTCCCCAGACTGGAACGGACAGCGAACACTTTCCTCTGCTGGACCATAAATCCCGCTGAAGTGTGTCTAGTGTTGGACGTTTTTCAGTTGAATCAATTTAATTAAAAGTTTGCTTAGCTAAGGTTATCTGAGGATGCTGGTGAATAAGACGAGCCACCTTGTTTACAGTATTCCCAGATTTTAATTCATTTTATTAAATATTGATATTCGATGTATGTTTACCCTCCCCCCCCCACTCACTCATAGTACTAGAAGGTTGAAGTCTGGTAAGAAAATATGCAGCAGTGTCTGTCGTGACTGTGCACGACGCAGGAGAACGTGAATGGGGAATATATGGTCTATTTACATCATAAGGCAAAAAGGGGGAGAGAGGGAGAAAAGGGAAGAAAAGAGGGTCTTTATAGCCACTAATCCATTTCTTCTGTGATGTGTGAGTGTATCGATCTACATAACAGATGGCAGAGCATCCGTTGGCAGTGCTAGATAAGGCGCACTGGGGCAGTTGATTACAGCCACTGAACAGGTTTACACTGTTTGATTTAATTAAGACTTTATCCTTGTGCTCAGCTCCCACCACAAACACGCATGCTTAGCCACATATACATATCCGAGTACACAGACAAACACACCTGTATAGTGTATAATCTGAGCAAAGGTAAGGGGGTAGAACATATGCCTAATGTATGTAGAGGAGGGTGCCTCTTATTCAGAGTGGAGCAACTTGGGTAAAGCCATGCAAAGGCTAATCCCATTCAGCGCACACACACTTGGCTGTGAGACGCTGGCCCTGCCATGTGAAACAGTATTGTGTGGGGCAATGTAGACAGTATGTGGATGATTCCATCAAGCAGACCTCTGGGTGCGTAGGGGGAGGGATTTGAGGCTTGATGCTGAAAAGATGTGAACCAAACAGCTGCTACACCAAAGCCCCAAAGAACTTCCTCTGTGGAGATGTAGAAAGGGGGGGGGGGCAAACCCACGACTGTGCTTGACAACAAATTGACTGCAATTCGCATAGCAACAGTTCCTGGAAGGTAACACAGTAGTTAGAAGGGCACATGGTGCATGGAGATGTGAGCACACTATGTACACAAATAAATCAAATAATAAAACACGGATGTACCTATCTTTGCTGTCTCTCTTGCACGCACGCAC